CCCCCCTTTTTAGGTAACTATTTTCATTACAGTGGCACCTTGGTTCACAAATTTAATTCTATGATTCTGGTTGCAACTGAAACATGGGAATAATCAAGTTGGTGAACCGAGGTACTACTGTACTGTTCGTGGGTTGTTTTGCAAAAAAAACAACAAAAAAACACACATATGCTGTTGTAGTCAGCAGGATTTGGCAAGGGAATACATTAAATACAGGACACATAACTTATACGATTATTTTATGATAATTACCCAAAGAGTCAAATTCGAAGGAGTGCAAGAGAGATTAACTGCACACTAGGGGCCCAAGGAATCTAGCTGAGGGCATGGATCCCAGCAATGTCCCACACAAGTCCAGCTAAAGGCTTAGAGTCCAAGGCTGTGTCCTCCATGAGTCCAGCCAGTGGCCGAGAGCCCATGGCAATGTCTCTTGCTTGTCCGTATTGAGCAGCTGCACCAGGAAGGCTCAGAGGTCAGTGGTGGAAGCCAGAAAACCTACGCTGGTGAGATGAAGGATTTGTGCCACCAAGCTGAGGGATCCACATTGGAGCCCGGAAGTGATGCTCATGGTGAAGATCAGAACTCCCCTGATGAAAACACCAACCATTCCCAGTGACAGTGAGACCCCGAGCACCTCCAATGATGAGAACAGCCTAGTTTGCATCAGGAAAACCATCTGTAGCAAGCTTCTCTTAGAAAATCAACAGGCCAAGATCGTCCCTTCCAGTTCTCTTTTTATGGCTATTGGTAACAATCTTCAGGTGAATCTTCCGCACCCAGACCAGGCTGATTCAGTTCAGCTGGGTGATACAGATTGACCATGAATCAATCCACCACATGTGCACATAGTTAAAACTATATGTACTGCAGTTAGCTTTCCATTGTTGTAACAAATATCTGACACAATCTACAAGTATGAGGGAGAGTTTATTTTAGTTCAGAGGTTTCAGTCAGTGATGGCTGGCTCTGTCGTTTTGGGGCTATATTGGATCGGTAGCATGCAGTAGAGCACAGTTGTTCAGCTCATAGTAGTCAGGAAAGAGAAAAAAAAAGGGAGAGGCCAGTGGTCCCAATGTCCCCTTCAAGTATATGCCTCCAATGATCTAACTTCCTTCCACAAGGTTCTTCCATCTAAAAGCCCTACCACTTCCCAGTAGTACCATAAGCTAGTGACAAAATCTTTAGCATGTGGACCTCAGGGGGACATTTATGATCCAAACCCTAAAAATTATTTTCCTTCTTTAATATAATATCTTAGAAATCACTTCCTATGAGTTCATAGAAATCTTCCTGACTCTTTTTCTAAATAGCTGAGGACGACTCCATTGTGGGAATGTATTATATTTTAACCAGCCTCTAACATTCCCAGTTATTATAAAAATCACTTAGCAAATAACTTAGCCTATGTTTGTGTTGTTTGTTCAGATGTAGCTTCAAAGTAGACCCATGAATTTCATCTTCAGAATTATTCCAAATGATTTCGATGGTGTGGCAGTCAGGGTGGGATATTTTAACTTGATTGGCTTTGGGATCCCCCAGGGGATTAGTGGAGCACACTTCTGAGGGTGTCTGGGTGGGTCATGGTGTATGATTTTGGGTCTGAATCTCACACTTTCCTCTCTGGTACTGTTCCCCTGCTGTTTCTCAGCCATCGTGACCTGAGCAGCTTTGCTCTGCCATATCCTTTCATCATGATGTTTTAGCCTTGAAGCCAGCTCATCATAGACTGAAACTGTGAGCCAACTGAAGCTCTCATTGAAGTTCTGGGTGTCAGCTATTATATTTCAGCAATGAGAACGCTAATATAGATGCCAAGTTTGAGTACTACTGTTTACCACATATGGCTACCATCATTGTTAACTTTTTTTTTTTTAATGAGGAAACAGGTTTTCATCATCCTGAATCTTCAACTACACCACCTAGTAAAATGCAATTGAGTTATATAAACAGAAGCTTAACATCTGGAGTCTTGGGCCTAAGTAGTCATGTTGCTAACAAGGATATCTTACAGAATACACACAAGTGACAGATTTGGGCAATGGATGTTTCAGTTTGGCTATGTTGAGTTTGAAATAGTCAAGGAGTATCCTATCCAATATTGATATCTAATAGACTGTTATTTGCACAGGGCTAGAAATCAAGAGGCTCTATTATATAGGTGATAGATAAGGGAAAGATATTTGAAGGAAGGGCAACAGAGTGAAAACGTGCTTAGAATGGAACTTTGGTGAATACCAAAACTGAAGAGGCCATAAGTGGTGGTGCATACCTGTACTCTGGGAGGCAGAGGCAGGAGGATCAAAAGTTTGGGTTGTGCTAGGGCAATTTAGTGACAGTGAAATCCTGCCTCAAAACAGAAAATTTAAAAGGGCTGTGGATATAGCTCAGGGAAAAGTCCTAGGTTCCATTGCCAGTATTAGAAAAAAAAAAAGAAAAGAAAAAGAATGAAGGAAAGAAAAGAAAGAAAGAAAGAAAAGAAAGAAAGAAAGTCTACAGGATTTAGCCCCTGTTGAAAAGGTACAAACAGTAGCTGCGTGTGTGATAAGGAAGGAACTCAATCTCTTATAGATGACCCTTGGAAACTCTGGGGTTTGGTCAGGTGCAATAAAATTTTTCTTCTAAAAGCAATATAAAAGCTATAATATGAGCACCCTGGGAGGTTGAGGCCAGAGAGGATTGTCAGGAGCAATGCTACATAATTTTAGGGAAAAATCATTTGGTTAGCCTAGTTCTCCTGTCTACAGCCCAGCTATGGAATTCCGAGACATAATTCCATTTTGGCCTCCGGTCACAACTGAGACCTCAATGATCCGGTAATGCTGTGATTCTCCAGGACAAGATTACACCAGGTGAAGAAATCCTGGGAGGAACAAAATCTTCATCTACTCAGTTCCTCATTGTTCTTGGATTGTTACATCTTGTTTACCCCAATGTGCTGAACTCTCTGCAAGTTGTTTGTTACATTTATTTCTCCGGATGTACTGAGTACTGAATAAAAGGTGCGGTAAGCTGGGGGCTTTCGTCTTTGCTGCCCAGAGCAGCACTGATCAGACCCAAAGCTCAGCTTCTTCTCAAAGCTAAAAAAAAAAAAAAAAAAAAAAATTTGAGCTCAACTGTACAAGCAGACAGACAACAGACAAACATATAAGACAATTTATAAAACTAGAGTGCACTCAAATATATTTGACCAAAATGGAATTATGTCTCGGAAAGCCATATCTGGGCTGTAGGCGCGAGACCTAGGCTAACCAAATGATTTTTCCCTAAAATTATGTAGCATTGCTCCCGATAGAGGATCGCAAGTTCCACCCTAGCCCGGGGAGCTTAGGAACTTAGTGAAACCATGTCTCAAAATAAAAAAGTGAAAAAGGGCTGGGGACGTAGCTCAGTGTGGAGGCCTTAAGTCTTAGGTTCAATCCTCAGTGCCAAAAATAAAAGGGGTACTCAAAGCGGGGGATCAATTTTAGCCTTTTTAAACATCACAGTTTTGCTCTTCAATGTTTGGTGCTGGCTGTTGGTCATCCATGCAGTAATCCCTTGGTATTCATGGGTGGTTGATTCCAGGAGTCTATCAGAATCCAAGGATGCTCAAGTTTCTTATATAAAATGGCACCGTATTTGCAGATACCCTGCACATATCCTCCCATATATTTAAAATCAACTATATAATAGATTATTATACCTGATACATTGGAAATGTTATGTTAAAAGTTGTTGATCCTGTATTGTTTAGGGAATAATGACAAGGAAAATAAAAGTCTATGAATACACACTATACTAGATAATCCTGGTTGTCATTTTGACTGGATTGAGGTACCTGGCAGATGCCTAACAGATTACCACAGTGTGCTGTGTGTGTCTGGGTTAATCATGAGGTGTGACCTTGGGTGGTACATTCGGTCCCTAGCCACTTCTTCGTTGGTGCTCTTCCCCTCTGCTCTGCTTCCAGGCCCCATGAAGTGAGACTCTTTGGTCCACCAGGTCCTTCCACCATGGAGTCAGCCTACCATAGGCTAAAACTCTGAGCCAAATTAAACCTCTCTTCCTTTATGTTGTCGGTGTCAGGAAACCTGTCCAAAATTCATTATAGAGGAAATTTCTCTATAAAAAATATTTTCGAAGCATTGTTGGTTGAATCTGTGAATATGGAACTCCCACATGGAGAGAGCAGGGTGTATCAGAATCCAGCACTAGGTGCTTTGGGGTTTAGCAAACAAGTGTATGCTTAGTTATTCTGGGTTCATTATTAAGACGGTAATTATATAATCAACAATATCAACACAGTAATAGAGTAATAAGTAATATATGTTATAGTGTTCCCTAAAGAGAACCATGACTTTCAAATACTATCCCCATCAGGTGAGGCAATCGTGGCTCCAGAATAACTTTTCAAACCACTCTCCTCCCCCTTATTTCTCTTTCTCATCCCCACTGATTCTCTGGGCTGCAAGTCAATACTTTTTGCCCCTCTGCAAGCAAGTAGTAGCCCAGCCCGAATAAGTTAGGGAGACAGCATGCCCTCCCGGAGGAGTGGCTGAAAAGAACTCAAGAGTGTCATGTCACGCGGGGAAGGGGTTTCCTAGCCCTGGCAGAGGATCTGCTTGACAACCCAGACCTTGCATAGAGACAGAACCTTGGGTCCTGGCCTTACCTCCCAATTGAGTGGGAGAGGGGAGTTTGCGGAGGGCTTGCTCGTCCAGATTCGCCGCGTTTCTCCCTCCGCAGGAGAGCCCCAGGCGAGCAGTTCTGCAATGCCAGCCTCTTTGTGCCCAGCGGCTGGACTCCGACAGACTCTCGGGACTGATCGCCCAGGTCCGCCCCGCAGTGTCGGAGACTAGGGGCGGGGCTTCACTGGGACCACGGCCCTCCCCGCCCCCCGCGGGCCACCACCTCTTCCGCCTTTGGGGAAGTTGGAGATGTCCCTGTCGAGCAGCAGATTGGCTGATGCTGGTCACGCGCTTTGCCCGGTTTTGCCGATTTGTTTGTGATGAATTGGGAAAAGTGAGCATGGCCGGGGTGAGTAAGAACCTGCGGGAACTGGTGGGACCCCTGCTCCCGCCCAAGGACCAGGTGGAGGAGGAAGATGAGTTTGCGATGGGAGATGGGGAGGAGGAAGCGGAAGACTCTGTGTTTGTGGACGCCGAGGAGCTCTGCAGCGGGGGCGTCAAGGCTGGCGGCCTCCCCTGGCGTCAGCATGGTGAGGGAGAGCTCTGATTGGAGGAATGGGGTTGGAGGATGCAAAGAAGTGTTTTCAGTCTGACTGTCCTGATCTGGGCGCCCTAGACTTACTTAAATCTTACTTATTAATCGGAGTGACTTTGAACACAGACTTTGTTTTAGGCATATAAATATCTCACTTAATGTTAACAGTTATTTGGGAGTAGTTTTACAGTTGAGGAAATAGTGGATATAGTAAAGCCTATATTCCTATCCAGTGTCAAGACTTTTAGTTATTATCCTGTCTGCCTGGAATCAAACTCATTTAAAAAAAATTTTTCTTTGTACATGTTTGCAGTTCACGTAGTTTACAATCATTTTGGGGAATGGTTACGTGTTCATATCACAGCATGTTTCTTCTTTAAATTCCCTTCTCTTCCCCAAACTCTGTTCTTTAGCTACGAAAGAAAGGAATCACAGCACCTCAGTGTTTTATTGATTTGTTAACCTTGTGTTAATAGCCTAGTGATTTGTATTAACTTTGTGTAGCTTTCTGTGCTGTGAATTATACCTGTTTTGTTGACGTTGTGACGGGAGATTAAGATGATGATGATGATTTTTCTTTTTTCGGAACCGGGGATTGAACTCAGGACCTTGCACTTGAGAGGCAGGCGCGGCGCCACTGAGTTAAATCCCCAACCCTAAGATTATTTTAATGTGCAAAGCAGTGCTGTCTAGTAGGACTGCGTGGTGACAGCTGTGTCCAGCGCAATAGCCGCTAACCACTTATGGCTCTTTAGAACTTGAAATGCAGCTAGTGCAACTGAAGAGCTGAATTTTAAGTTTAATTTAATTTAAATTTAAATATAAATAGCTACATGCAGGTAGAGAGTGCAGGTTTAGACAGAAAATTTTCGAGTATTTGTGGAGAGTTTATTCTTTCTAAAGTACTATCAGCTAGCTGTCATGTTCCAAGCATTTGGGGCAAGGATACCCAGAAACATGAAATCATGAGCTTACCATCTTAACGAAGCTCACCCTCTAGTGAGTAAACAGACATTCTTTAATGACAGAAGTAAGTACAAGGAATACTGAATAATGCTTTGACATTATATTCAGGAGATTTAGGCAAGGCTGTCATAAGAAAGTGACAATCTGAAAGGTGTAGTGAATGGAGTAAAACAGTAAGATGGAGGGAACAACTTGTGCAAAGGCCTTGTGGTCAGAGGCAATACGGAATGTTTTTAAGAATTGGCCAAATACCAGTATTGGCCGAGGTGAGAGTAGCGAGAAGAGAACTGGAAGGGAACAGCAGACACTTGCCTGGTACTGTGCTTTTTGGAATACAAAGACAAATGAAGCATTGTCCTCTTATGGACAGCTTACAGCTTCCTAGCAGAGAGAGGCAAATAAACAGGCAGCATGACACATTAAGATACTCTAGTAAATGTCTGGTTAGGGTGATTGTAATGGTGAGTGTGATAAATCATTGGGGAAGAACATTTTTAATCTCCTAAATTAACTTTTTTTCTTTTTCTTTCTCAGTTGTCATTCATGATGAAAACACTCAAGAGCAGTGTAAAGTGGTTGGACGTTTTCCGATAATGGGTCCTTGGTGGCAAGTGAAGGTACAGGTAAAGCCTGTAGGATCAAGGAAATATATAGTTCAAGGGTTTCCATCATACTTTTTACGATCCAACATGTCACCACCAGATCAAAAAAATATCTGTTCTCTGTTTCTTAAAGAATGTGGGATCCCCTGTGAGGTGGTAAGTCAGTTTTTAGCATGGGTAAAGAAAGCATCAAGCTATGAAGACCTAAGCTTTGAAAATCTTAAGGAAACATTAAGAACTTTCTACAAGGAAATTAGAAAGAAAGATAAAAGACAGTCTGCAAAAAATGAACAGCCGGAGTTATTACCAGATAATGAGATAAGTCTTCTGGAAAACCAAAGTAAGTATAATTTTATCATTGAGTTCTAGTATGATTGACATCTTTAATGGCTGCAGTATTTAAAATATTACTGTTAGCATATCTATAAAGTAAATACAGGTTGCACATCTCTCATCTGAAAATTTGAAATTGTTCAGAATTTGAAACTTACTGATCTCTGACATTGATGTTACAAATGACACTTTCTTATGATTCAGTATACACGTACTTTGTCTCAAGAACAAAATTATGAAAATATTGTGTAAAATTATCTGCAGGCTATGTGTTTATGGTATATATGAAAAGTGAGTTTAATGTATAGACTTTGATCCCGTTCCCAAGATATTTCATTATGATAAATAGGATATAAAATGATATAAGGGAAATATTACAACTCCCAACCTGTTAGATGTCTGATATGCCAAGTTTGTGTTCTCTAAAATCTTAAGAATGAATTTTAGGAACAAGGAAATATTTATTGAGGAGAAAGATACAGCTCCTGAGAGGCAGGAGGGGACCTGAAAGTGGGTTGCTGAGGACCCCATTTCTCAGGGAAGTTTTATACAGCACAACCACATTGGTACAACATGGGTTACAGCTGTTATCAACCAATAAGATTATAAGTATAGTTGCTTAGGTAACATTGATCTAATGGGGAAACAAGTCACGTAGCAAGTGTACATGGAAGGAACAAAGAATTTTTCAGAAAGGGATGAGTTCAGAGGTCTTGGTCATCCACAGAGGTGACTGATGTCTATTTAGACCATTAGACCATATGTTAACACTTATCTTAGGTCTGGTCATTCCATCTTTATCCTAAGGCCTGGCCTCCAACAGATTTGCCTCTGGCCACAGTTGCAATTTGTTTTTGTTTTTGTCCTGACTCGAGGGCCTACCCCTGTCTGACTGCTTTAATAACTTAGCTATAATAACTCCTACCTAACTTAGCTGTTTATAATAATTATATATATGAAAATATTCTAAATTCTACAAAAATGCAAAACCCTAAACACTTCTAGTTCCAAGCATTTCAGATACTCAACCTGTTTTTCTTTTTAAAATTAGTTTGATGAAAATTTGTTTATGTTGCTTTTTGAGTATGTCATGGACATTTCAGTTTCTCATCTAAACGTGAAGGAATTCTATAAGGTGCTCTTTAAAGATCCATACATTTCCTCCCTAACTTAAAAATTGTGATTCTATATCTCTCTTCCTGATGTTAATGTTCCTAGAGAGTATTTTCAATCATTAAGAAAGACTTCAGTTTTTTTGTTTTTTTTTTTTTAAAGAAGATAGAAGAGAAAGGCAGGATTAAGCAGCAATCCATTTTGGAAAGATTTCAACCCAGAATCACTTCACATAATTTTAAAATATGGTTTGTCATCTGTACATTCAAGTACATATATAGAATATTTAACTTCTTAGATAAATGAGATAAATTTACCTGTACATCAATAAATGACCAGGACAAAATAATCATAATTATAGTTGGAAAGATGATTATGAGAGTTAAGACATAAATAATTTATTTTTATGATTAGGTTTAAATTTATCTTTATATGACTGAGTTAAAATTTTTATTCTGATTATATTGTAAGTAAAAGGAAACAAAAGATGACATCCAAATCTAAAGCATTTAAAAGACATACATTTTGGTGTTAAACACAATGAAAACCACCTCAGTCCAAAAATAATTGTCACAGTATCTGTTTTCTTAACTGCTTAAAGTTAATTTATTAATCTTGCTTTAATTTGTATTTCTTGAACTAGTTTGCTAAATGACAGAGTATTTTGTTCTGTGAACTCAGTTTTATGTTTTGTTTTCTGATATCCTGTAGTTCCATTTGTACATGTCATGACAGCTTTGCAGTTTCCAAAAATCATGGAATTTCTTCCAGTTCTTTTGCCTCGATACTTTAAACGGCTTATCAGCACAGATTCTAAAGTGGTATTGGAAGCAATCGAAGAGATTTTAGGTACACAACCATGGAAGCTGGGATTTAGTAGAGTAAGACATTTGTTCAGTATTTTATAATCTTATATAAGGCAGAGTTTCTCAAATTTGACAATGTTTTTGTTTTGTTTTGTTTTGTTTTTTGAGACAGTGCCTTGCTATGTGTTTCAGGCTGGCCTTGAACTCACTATGTAGCCCAGGCTGGTCTTAGACTCACGGCAATCATCCTACCTCAGCCTTCCGAGTGCTGGGATTATAGGCGTGCACCACCACATCTGGCTAAATTTGACAATTTTGGCATCTCTTTCAATGGAAAAAAATTTCGTGTGGACCCCCCCCCCCACCAGTGCTTACTTTCTTGGGATATTACAAGGAAGCACACGAAACTTTTTCTGCCTGTATGCAACTATAAAGTAAAATTTAAAAATGAAAACCAAAATAATAAAATGGATGATATTCAGATTATCAATTATCTAATTTAATTTAATATGACAAGTTTTTCTGCAACTAAATTTTCATTTGTAATTTGAATAGAGATCTCATTGATGACAAAAGTTTTTAAAAGTTTGGTAAATGCTTTCTGCTGCTGTGCAATGCAGATTTGTACTTTGCAATATGAACTTTTAAACACGCATTATTTGTATAAAATATAATGATATCATTTGATTTTTTTCATAACGTCATTTCCAACTGGCTGGGGATTTAGCTCAGTGTTGCTGCCTCCTGCCTCAAAAGCACAAGGTCCTGAGTTTGATCCCTGGTACCAAAAAAATAAAAACACATCATTTCCAACTGAGTCTACTTCTGTTCTTGTTATTAGAAACCCAGAGTAGGAAAGTCAGTCAGCCTGAGGCTCCTGGTGTTGAAGCTAAATATGGTACTCAATCTTTGGTAATGCAGTACCCAAGTGAAGGTGATTTTCCAAATGAAACAATATTGAGACATTCTGTAATAATTCTTGGACTCAAAAATATTTACAGATTTCCAATTTGCAGAAACACTGAAACAGTTTGTTCCTTATACAGAATAACTATACATCCAGTATACTTTGAAAGGTAAAAGGTTATGAAACTTTAGATTATCATATATTTATTACATGGAAATGAGAGAGAGACATCTGAAATGTCAGAGGCAGACAGTAGTTTACCTTTTGGTTTAAAAAAATCCCTGTGAAATGTGACATTCTTTCTAAATAGAAGATATTAAAAGGAGAACTTTAGAGATATGCCTAGCCACATTTCAAGAATAAATCATATAAAAAACTAGTGATATGTTTGATATACAGACACTCCTTGTTTAATGACCAAGTTCAGTTCCTGTAACTAGGTCGTTAAATGAATTAGTCACTAAATGAGGAATTGTATGTACTATGTAGAGTACAATATTCAGAACAAAGGAATGGTCAAAAGACACTCCAACTTGATGATTTTTTTTTTTGGTACTGGGGATCGAACTCGGGTCCTTGCACTTACACAGCAAGCGGTGAAACCACTGAGCTAAATCCCCAGCCCCTGATGATTTTGTTTTTATTTGCATAACTTACATGCAGTACTGTAATGTATAACAGAACATAAAGCTATAGTACTGTACTGTACAGTACAATCAGCAAAAATTACACTACTGTATAAACAAGGTGTACTGTACAAAAAAGAGACATTGAGGCTCTGTAACAAGAAGTACAAAACTGTTCAAAAAACAAAAGGAGAGCTAGGTCATAAATCTGAGTGGTGGATCTAATTCCAAACAGCATGCCTCAGTCATAAGTCTGAATAGTCATTAAAGATGTTGTTAAATGAGGAATACCTGTATATTAGTAGTTTCCCTCAAAATGTAATTGAAATACACATTTTCTGTGACTTAAAAATTGTTAAAATACATAATTTTTGCTGTAATTCTAGTAATATTTGTCAATATTTATAAAGCAACTTGCACTTTCTTTTCTTAAAGATAACCTACAGAGACTTGAAGCTTTTGCGATGTGAGGCAAGTTGGACAGCATTCTCTCAGTGCCCGTCTCTTCTCCAGTTGATGACTGATTTGGAGAAAAATGCATTGGATCTATATTCTAAATTGAAGCAGATATGTAGAGAACATGGGCACACATATGTTGAACAAGCGTCCTTAACCTCACAGTTGTATTACGATGTTTGGCAGTCTCTGGAGTTTCTGAAGGATATTGGTGTGGTGACATTTAGGAAGGACTGTGTCTTTCTCCATGAACTGTACCAGGCAGAAAGAAGCATTGCCTCTTTAATATGTGACCTCATGAAGAGACCTCCATGGCATTTACATGTCGATGTCAGGAAGGTGCTGGCATCTATTCATACCACAAAACTCAAGGATTCAAGAAGTGAGGAATCACTGAAGGAAAGTAAACCCGATGAAACAAGATTAGAAAATTCTATAGACATTTTGGAACTACAGGACAGTGATGATCATATTTGGGATGAAGAAAATGATATTAATGCAGAAATGAATGAAGTACAACTGGATCATGATCAGGTTACTGCTTTGGAAATGATTTGCTCCAATGCTGTGACAGTCATTAGTGGGAAGGGTGGCTGTGGGAAGACCACAATTGTTAGCCGTCTTTTTAAGTACATAGAGCAGTTTGAAGAAAGTGAAGTAAAGAAAGCTTGTGAAGATTTTGAACAAGATCAGGATGTCCCAGAAGAGTGGACTACCTTTACTGAACAAGGTCAAAGTGGATCAGACAAGCCTATAGAAGTTTTGCTCACAGCTCCTACAGGGAAAGCAGCTGGCTTACTGAGAGAGAAAACCAGTCTTCCTGCTTATACACTGTGTCAGGTAAAAACTTTGGCATTTTGTCTGTGGATAAATTTATGCTTACTCAACAGCCAGGAGGTACAATATTCCCCCTCATCGATTGTTTTGGTTTCTGCATTTTCACTTGCCTGCTGTCAACTGAGATCTGAAAATATTAAGTGGAAAGAAAATGTTCACAAGTTTTAAATTGTGCACTATTCTGAGTAGTGTGATGAGATCTAAAGTCTCATGTTATCCCACCTTGTCTCACTTAGGATGGGAGGCATCTGTTTGTCCAGGGTATCCATGCTAAATGCACTACCTGCCTTTCTGTCTCAGTTACCAGCTAGACTGTCACAGCGTCACAGAGCCCATATATAGGGTTTGGTACTATCCATGGTTCCAGGCATCCACTGGGGACCTGAAATATGTTCCTAGTGGTTAAGGAGGGACCTCTATATAATCATTTAGATCAGATTATTCAAAAACAGCTGGACTGTAAACTTACAGAAAGTGAATCAGTACATGGCTTTCTTCATTGAGAAAATTCTTAAGATGAAAAACATGTCAGTTAAATGCAAGTGCATGCTTAATGATCTAGTTAATTTAGGTCCGGGCACAATATCCATTTCTCATGGGGACGGGTTACAAGCACATGTCCACAGACTGTATTCTGAGTAACGCTGGAGATGGAAGAAAAAGATTTATGCTTCATAGAATGAAAACTCTGTGGAGGTGAGGACTTTGGTCATGTAGTATAGTTTGTTATCTTTTCTACCTAGAACAGTGCCTGGCATATAGTTACATGCTATATATTTCAAATGAATAATTATGCTTGAAAAAATATTGTCCTCATGTGATTAAGAGTAATAGAGTTTAAACTTGTAAAGAGTTGTCGGGTTTTCTCTATCTCTGACCTGCCATTTTATAATAAAAGGATGTGGTAGTTGGAAGATTTCCAAAGGACTCTTACAGACACTGACTCAGGTGAAGAAAAGAGCATTTTATTTAGGGGAAAGCCTTTCCAGAGGCACTGATAAGAATGATCATAATGTGTATAGAGGGTCTTGAGGTGATTTTATTGATGGCAGTGAAGTCTATGTATTGCACAATAATGGAAATTAAGCTTGGTTTAGACAGGGAATTCCAACTTTAATGTTAGTAAAGTTTTTTTTGATATTATCTCATTAAATCTTTCATAAGGTAGTGAAGTAGGTAGGTGATGTTAGCCCTCCTTTTATAGGCAAGCCAGTTGAGGTTTGCGGGGTGTTTAACAACTGGTTAAGAGCTCAGTTGTGCTGAATTAGAGTTTGAATTGAGATTTCTGATCTTCCAGCTTGTTACTTTTTCCATGGTGCCACAATTTCCTCATTTATCACAGATCTTGCATAGCTAACAGTGCAATTTGAAACTGATTTACTAGGAAGCCATTTAGGTTCATAAACAAGAGAGAAAAATAAATAAAGTAGTTCTAAGGAAGATTATATAGACTCATAGAGCCTCCAGCCACTCAAAAACTGTTTTGCTATTATTTTAATTTTATCACAAGAATGAATGGAGACCAAGAAGAGTTCAGTTTAGCTTTTTTGTGGAAGAGTCTTCTGATTGGCTTTTGCTTTTTTGCAGTATGCCTTCATGTCTGATTAGTCTGAAGGATTAAATGAGAAGGGAAGAGACCTGAGAGGGATCCTTAGTAAGTTCCACCTTATGCATCAACTCTGATCAACTAGTAGTGTCTTAATATTTGTTCAGATGTCGAGAGAACATTTGTGAAGCCACACGTAGGGTCAAGAGAAAGAGTAAGAGCAGAGGAAGAACATTGGAATGATATTTATTCCATGTATTTATCATCCTTGGACCAGGGTTACCAGATTTTATAGAAAAAAATATGAATAATTTTTAGTGTAACTATATACCAAACATTACATGGAAACATATTACTAAAAGTCATTTATTGTGTATCTGAAGTTCAGATTTAACTGGGTATCTTGGATTTAGTTTGGCAATCCCATCTTGGGCTGGTGCGTAGGGAAACCTGGCTATCAAGCTATTGTAATCATTAGGATGCTTATAGATGGGGCTAGTACTGAGTTAGTAGCACTTGAAATGCAGTGAGGATTACAGGCTAGGAGGGCTGGGAATTTAGCTCATTGGCACTGCACCTGCATTATAAGCGCAAGGTCATGAGTTCAATCTCCAGTACCAAAAAAACCACCAAAAAACTAGGCATTTCTAAGATAGCTAATTGAATATATCATGTAAAAGAAAAGAAACAATAAGAGGTATTGCCATAAGTCCTATTGTGAGACAAGACCATTAAGAAAGTTGCCTTTTGTTCAAGGCAATTGACACATTGGAATGGCAAATACATAGATTTTATTTAGTGAAAATGTTGAATGTAGTTTTAGTAGAAAAATTAAAGATATGCTATGATACAATGCCACTTAAAAATCTGATAATACATATGTAGCCACACCCAAGAAATGGAACTCTTTCTGGAATGTTATACACTGAAATGTTTAATGTTCTCTAATTCCAGCTTTTCAGTTAATTTTTTCCTCATTTATATTTTAATAGCATTAGTTCTATAATAAACAGTGTTATTAGTGGAATTATTGTTGGTGGTAATTTTTAATTGCATGGAGGTCAGAAATTTAGAATACTTGAAAGAAAAAGTAGTATTTTCCTAATTAAGTTGAGAAGGCAGTTCTTTATTTCCAGAATAGAGTAATACTGTTGAGAGAAGAGAAGGTTTAAGGGATTGGAATATCTCAGAAGCCAAGAAATTTGTTGGCAATGGAAAAGAATAGGGAGATTCTCTGGAAAATAATGATAGAAATGTTGAGATTTTTGTAATGGAACTATGTTTGAAGCTTACTAAATTAAACATACTACCCATTTGGGAAGCAATTTGTTGAACCTTTTGATCCTTTTCTTTGTTTTGTTTTTAGGCTTATTTGATCTGTCTTTTCTGTACATTCATCCCTAAAACTTGTATTCTCAATTTGTTAGCCTTTTCTCTGTGGTTTTGTACTTCTTACCTCTCCCTATCCCATGTATAACAGTTTTATTTTAAAATAACATGCTGCTAAATTTTTTTTTGTAACCTAACTTTAAATATGCCTTTCTTTGCTTATAGGTCAATTATAGCTTTTATTTTTGGACCAAAAACCTGAAGAAGAAGAATTTGGCATGGAAATTTTCTTCAGTTAGAGTTCTGGTTGTGGATGAAGGGAGTTTGGTATCTGTAGGAATCTTCAAATCAGTTTTAAAATTATTGTGTGAGCATTCCAGACTTTCTAAGCTTATTATCCTTGGTAAGTGAAAATATTGATGGAATTCTAACATTTAGTTGAAAGCACTGTGGTTAGGGGGTTGTTGATATAATTTCATGGTATCATTTCCTAAAAGTACAATCAGATGGTAAATAAACACTATGTTGAGGATATTTGATAAGCAGCTGCTTTTATTAATGGCTTAAGCATTCCCCTTATTTCCACTTAGTACCTATTTTCTTATCTTTGGTGCTTTTTTGGTTTCAAGCACAAAAGATTTGTAATAGAGCAAAACATTGTCTAGATTTCTAGGATTTGTCTTTCTCAAATGCTTAAGTTTATTTGTTTTATATATTCATTTTATCTAGGTGAGGCTATAGACCCAGATTCTGTAAAACATTGAGAAAAAGTGAATAAATGACTAAATACTATGTATTAAGGCTCAATTTTAAAAAATATGTTGGCTAGGATATATGTCCCTACATGGTTTACTTGTGGTTATAGATAGGAAAATAGTTCAGTTCAGATATTCTTAGCTTATTGTGTTTTCACCATTTAAAAAATATACTGTTTAATTTGAATATTGTTTCTTGTTAAATTTTTAGAGTTTTAAGTACTTAGTGTTCTTGAATAATTTTAAATAAAAATTCTAGGGCTTTTTTCCAAAGTTATAGCAAGTCTAAAATTACAGCATATATCCATAGGGAGAAATAAAAATAATTTCTACCTGTATACCAATAATGAACTCACGAGAAAGAAATTAGGAAAGCAGTACTGTTCACAATAACATCAAGAAAAATTAAATATTTAGGAATTAACCTAACCAAGGAAGGGAAAGACCTCTGTAATGAAAATTACAGTACCCTGAAAAAAGCAGATCCAAGAGGACAGAAAATGGATAGGCTCCTGGAGAGGCAGAACCAATATTGTCAAAATGACCATATTATCAAAATCATTGTAGATTTAATGGATCCCAATGAAAATACCAACAGCATTTCTCACAGAACTAGAAAAAACTACCCTAAAATTGACATGGGACCAGAAGAAGTTACAAAAGCAGTCTTAGGCAACAAGAGCAAAGTGGTAGGCTTTACAATCTGGATTTGAAGTTATACTCCAAAGCTGTGATAAAACCAGCATGAAACACATAAAAACAGACGTGCAGATCAATGGAACAGAAGATGAGGAAACAACCCCAGTCACATTAAATCATTTGATCTTTGACAAAGGACCCAAAAACATATGCTGGAGAAAAGATAGCCTTTGTAGGAGATGGTGCTGGAAAAACTGGTTACACACATGCAGAAAATTCAATCTAGACCCATATCTATCACCACACACCAAAATAAAAATCAAAATAGATCTAAGATGTAAATATTAAAACAGAAACACTTAATCTGCTGGAAGAAAAATAGGTAGAAAGAACTCTTGAAGACATAGGCACAGAAAAGGACTTTCTAAACAGAATCCTAGTTGCACAAGAAATAGCATCAAGAATCAGAAATAGGAGTATGTCAGATTGAAAGGCTTCTGCACACCAAAGGAAGCAGTAGAGTGAAGAGTCAACGTACAGGATGGGAAAATTTTTTTTAACTACTCCTCTGATAGAATGCTAAACCTAGATTACATAAATAAATAAAAAGATCAGATCCAACAAAACAAAGACCCAGTAAAAAAATGGACAACTGAAATGAATGGATATTTTTCAGAATAAGATGGACAAATGGCCGAAGTGTACATGAAAAATGTTCAACATCTCTGGCCATCAGATGTTGCAAATTAAGTGAAATAAAACAGACACACAAGTTTAAATATCACATTCTTTCTCTTATATGAGAAACCCGGAGGAAAAAACTAAAGAGCAAAATAAAAGATAGGTAATAAAAGATAGATAACAGGATGTAGGGAAATAGATCCTTCTCAAAGGGGCGGCGACCAAGCGGTGGAGGGAGGCAGGTGGGACAGGAGGGAAAGGGATGAAAAAGGAGTGGTATGTGTTATGTACATGTACCAACTTCCCACAAGGAATGTAAACATTATGTACTGCACGTATGTACTAATAACTAAAAAAGAAACTAAAGACAAAACAATAAAAAAATAGAGATCCCATTTTAGTCCAGCAAGAATGGCCATCATCAAATATCTGAAAAGAGGGCGGGGATTTAGCTCAGTGGCACCCCACCTGCCTTACAAGTGCAGGGTCCTGAGTTTGATCCCCGGTACCAAAAAAAAAAATTCCAAAAAGAAACAGGTTGTATTATGTACAGGTACCCACTCCCTAAGGTGAATGGAAAGTGCATTACTGTAAATGCACTGATGTAAAAAATATATACCCCAAAATGCTGATGAGGCTGCAAGGGAAAAGGCACCCTTCTGCATTGTTGTGGGGAAAGTAAACTGGTATAACCACTGTTGAAATCAGTCTAGAGATTCCTCAGAAAACTGAAAGTAGAAATTTCATTTGACCCAGCTGCTCCCTTTGTAGTTACCTTCCCCAGAGAGTTAAAGACATCATACCACAGCGATACATGCATACCTATGTTTATTGCAGCACAATTCAAAATAGTTACATCTTAGAAATGGTCTCTATACCCATCAGAAGTTAAATGGATAAAGAAAATGTGATATTTATACACAACAAAGTAGTACTTCGCAGGATAAACTTAAAGATGGATGATGGATATCCCTTGAGGATATAATGTTAAGTGAAATAAATTAGACACTAGCTTAACTATTGCATAACTTCTCTAATCTGAAATGCCCAAAGTATAAATAATTTAAAAAATGAAAAATTGATTAATAGGAATCAGGGAGATAGTTGTTTTGCAAATGGGAAGGGGATATAGAGATGAGGGGAAGGGAAGGAGGAGAAGGGGACTAAAAAGAATTAAGATACGTTAAGTACATGTACAAAAATAATTACTAAATTTTAGTATCTCCATTACCCACTGTATCTGTCTTTTTCCCCTTTTAGGTGATATTAGACAGCTACCCAGTATTGAACCTGGAAACTTGTTGAAAGATCTTTTTGATACTCTTAAGTCAAGAAAGTGTGCTATTGAGCTAAAGACAAATCATAGAGCAGAATCTCAGCTAATTGTTGACAATGCTACACGGTATGATGTAACTAAAATTTTGCATTTTGCCTCTGTTGTATTAGAAACAAAAGTAAGCTGTATTTATGTATACATTAGCTTTTGAATTATGTTAATTTGGTAAATATATTTATTATATCTTTTAGTAAACCTGTTCTTTCCTTAAAGTATATACCTTTTCCCCACAGTTAGAAAAATAAAGTAGTATTTTTCATTGCTGGTCCTGCATAAATTATGGAAATTTAAGAATGGATGTGTTTTCCTAACACAAAATGCACATATGGTTGCTGTGCATTCCACCAACTATATCTGTGAGTTCCACATCTGTGAATCGATCCAATTACGGATTGAAAATATCCAAAAAAAAATAATTGCATCTGCTCTGAACATGTACAGGTTTTTCTCTTACTATTCTTTAAACAATGCAGTATAACAACAATTTACAGAGCATATATTAAGTATTGTATGTAAATATAGAGATGATTTAAAATATATGAAAGGATGTGTGTAGAGTATATGCAAATGATACACCATTTTATGTAAGGGATTTGAGCATCTGAAGATTTTGATTACCATGGGGAGTCCTGTAACCAATCCCCCATAGCTAACAAGGGGTAACTGCATATGAATAAAGTTGGTTTAAGCTTAGAGATTGGAATAAACCCAAGAGGAACAGAGATTTGGAAATGAGTTTATTCTCATTCAAAGGAGCATTGAGAAAAAAATTTCCTCTAATTTTTGTCAGGGACAGCTCACAGTAAAAAATATTAAAATAGGGCTGGGGATTTAGCTCAGTGGCTCTGCTGCCTGCCTTGCAAGCACAGGGTCCCGAGTTCGATCCCCATTACCAAAATAAAATTATTTTAATATTATTATTATAATATTATTTCACTCCTAGATGAATCTAGTGGCGCCCATGGCATATACTCCTTTTAAAGTAGAAGAGTCTTTTTCTTCCCTCAGTCTTTGCCTTTAGAGTGATCCTGTGTGGACTTAGGCATTCAGCTTCTCCATAATTTATGTATCAGAAAATAGAGAACAGTTCAGAAAAATTGGAACAGTTATTATTGCTATGTTATGATTTTTAATGTATCAGAATTCACTTTTGTTTTTAACTGTCTTTTTATAAAATATTTTTGTTGCTTGAACATTTCCTTGGTTGGATGTCAGCAAAAACTTAAACATTCCAAACCGTTTTTCTCTGTGCCCCATTGACACTTCACTGGATGGTGAAGCTGGAGGGGGAATTGATGGGAATAGGGCAGATGCTGTGGATTAATATTATGACATTAAAAAATAATGGATTTGGATGTATAATATTCTTTGCCTGTAACTTTTGTTTCTATCTAAAGAACGTCTTATTTTTCATAGATGATTGATCATTATAAAGTCTCTTAAACTTGGAAGAATCTGAAGCACATGAGATTCCTTAGCAGTCCAGTTTTATAGATGCTTAGGAGTTCCTTTTAGTAACCCATTCAGTTTCATTTGGTTCAAGCTGTGCTCCTGTCATCCTTTTGTCTTCATCACTAACTATCTTTGAGTATTACTGACGATGAGGATCTCTGTTGTACACTAGGGACAAGTTGCTAGAGAGAAGTATGCTACATGTCTGGGGTCAGAAGTAGAATAGGAAATCCAAGATGATTCCCAGGACCCCAGAAATTCACTCTGAGATATTTCCAGCAAGAGCAGCCTTCGTCCCTCTCTTTTCTTCTCTTTCCACTCCTGTTTGGCAGAAGTTGAAGCCTCTTACTGCTCATCTGTGAAATGAGGATTAGACCTACCTTTTATGGCTCCTTAGTGGTCTGGAGATAAGTAGATCAAGTACTCAAAGTGGTGCATAGTACATTCTCTGATAATTTATTTGATTCTCTTAATCTGCTAGGAATAGGGAACTAATTGCTGAATATAGCAGCATAACTTCCTGGTCTTTCAATTGTATTATAATACTCATTTTCTGTTTCTAATTCATATCTGGGTGGTCTTTTCTCCCCATTTATTATCTATTAATAGATGTTAATCATTATATTGTTTTTATATGAAAAGATATTTTTAGATGATAATGCTCTTGGTTTTGTATTTTATCTTTAAGAATCTCAGAACGCCAGTTTCCAAAATTTGATGCGGAACTAAATATCTCTGAGAATTCTGCATTCCCCATCTCAATTCAAGATAAGACATTCATTTTTGTCAGACTCCTAGAAGAATATGCCAGTTCCCAGTCATCTAAAAGTGATCATAAGTCCTGTAAGTATAGACTGCTATGATATGTCAGGTGAAGTATAAGTAATTCTGTTTTGTAGTAGAGTTATTAAATGACTTGTTACAAGTTCATTTGTAAATGGCTACTTACAATTTTATTTGATGGTAAAGGCAAATATTGTTAGTAAAAAAGATCACTGAAAATGAATGAATAAATGTGTAAATCTTCAGAAGCAGATGTCCCCAGAAGTTTGTATAGCAGGTCATTAATCCATAGTAAAGACACAATAAATACTTGTCAAATGAACAAACAGATGTGGAAAATTTTGTTTAAAATAAAGCAAAGCTCCAATGATCCAAGTTCACTCCAGTGAGAGCAAATTTTAGTTAATGAAATTTTTTTAGAGCAATTTGAAGAGCAAATCTGTTGAGTACATTTGTGCAACAAAAGTTACAGTTGTTCAACTGTTGTTGCATTGAGTTCCTAATAATTCTGTTTTATAAAATGGACAAACATTGCTTCTAATTATGAGTGTTAGGATGATAGCCTGACAAGGCTGAGAAAGAATGGGATTGGGAGTTTTCTTCCTTAAACATGTGACCTGTGCCGTGTCACTTAGCCATGTGTAAAGTGGGAATCAGGTGATGTTTCCTGTGGCCCTATTGTGAGGGTGGAGGCATCCTTGTTATGAGGCACAACAAATTTTAGTTTTGTGTGAATTATAGATATCATTACATTGGCTACTGCAAAGAATTTATTTAAATAGAGTAAACCTGTTATAATCTTTATTTTCTATAAAAACTGATGGCATTCTTTTTTAAAAAAATAAGTGTAATATATTCAAAATTGACTTAGTAAAGACTTAAATGATTATTACTGAGGTTTTATTATAGATGTCACGGTTCTCAAAGGTATATTCTCCCCCACTTAAACACTTTCACTCTATGTGACTTGAAATGACATGCAACTTTGAAAACTTGAAAGCATTTTTCTCTTTGCATGTGTCACCAGCCTTACTTCCCTTGTGTTAATGATCATTGCTGTGTTGCAGTACTTTTTTTTAAATAAATGGGACCATATAACATGTAGTGTATAACATGCCTTCTTAATTATAGAAATAATTTAAATTATCTTAAGAAATTAAGTGACACTGAAAAATTTGAAGTAGAAATTATTCTCTGGTAATCATTCTCTTTCTCATCCCCCTAAAAAAACCCCCTACAAGGGTCATGTACCTAGTGAAAGCTTGGTGTGTTTATCCTTTAAACCTTATTGTATCTACGTGTAAATATATATTATTTACTTTGCTTTTACATAGGTTGGATTATAAGCTGCATATCATTTTGTGTTGGTTTTTATTAAATGTATTATAAAAATAACTAATATTTATTCTCAGAACAGTTTAGTTGATGTGAGGCACTATTATAGAGGAAGAAAAAGATTTAGACAATTAAGTACAGCTTTTTTTGCCACTCCACTGAACTCTACCCGAAATATTATTAGTTTACTTTGGTATATTTCTAGTACCCATTCTTTACATACATGAGAATGTACTTTAGAAAGAAAAAGAAAGTTGTCTATTTCAGAATGGTAGCAGAGTGTAGCTGATGCTAATTATATATATTAATTAAACACTTCTGCTGGAAAATTAGTCCCTTCTTTAAGAAAACTGGATAAATAATCCTTAGAGAGGCATTTAGTACTTTTTAAAATTAATAATTAAGTGACTCTAAGTAAATTACACTCACTATTGCACAGTACAGAGACCTAAAACAGAATTCATGGCTGAACTAGAATTTCAGAGATGCTAAAATATGTATCTTAGAATCAATGAAATATTGATTACATGATACACAGAGGGCGAAAAAGCAAGGTATAAAACAGCACAATCCTATATATGTAAATGAAAACAATATTTCAGGAGACCTTGGGAAATTTCTGTTTTGGCAAGCCAGAGGTTGGCTGGGGCTGGGGGGCAGACTGAATTTTGGCCATTTTCTAGAGATAATCCTGTCTTCATCAAAATGAATGAATGAATGGATGGATGAATGAATGAATGAATGGTTCAGCAAGCAACTTGACCCTCTTAGAGCAGGGCGTCACAATGTCTGGGCTTTTGAATTCCCCCATGATTCATCTGCTACTAGGGAAATACTCAAGAGCCTGGGAGTTTCTCCCCAAATTTTTATTATATTCTTTTTCACTTGAGAAATGTTTACCTCTTGCACTGTTGCTGTGAGACTAGAGAAAGCCTGATTGTCAGTATTCCAGTGTGAAGAGGATGTGGGCAGTGTGTGCTGTGCCACATGGTCGGCCATCTGAGATCTAAATGGAAGTCAAAGCCACCCTGCCCCACTGGAAAACTGCTACCATGAGCTTTCATTTTCACACTTACAATGTGGACGTAATCAGTGGTTGGGGTGCTTAACAGCTGGTAGGACACAAGCCCCAATGGCTCTTCTATGCCAGAGCTAATGTTTTAGTGGCTGAATCATGGGGAGGTCTGGGAGAAGGAAAAAAAGGTTGGGATGGGAGATTAGGCATTGTGCACTTAGGGTGTTAGTGACGATTTTCCAGCCAACAGAGAAATATCTTGATGTTGTGTACTGATGTGTGTCAGGTGAATATCAGCTATGGATATAATGATACCCACCTGTATGGATGTTGTGAATATTAAATGAGAGAATATAGAAAGTATATATATTCTCAAATTCTAACTCATTACTACTAGTAGTACCGCAGGGACTTAAAGTTTCAAATTAGAAATTCAACATATTTTGTGTGCTTGCTCATTTCTTAAATTCAGCATTCACAAATCATCAGTGAATATATGGTGAGTGTATTGCAAATTAGTAGTTGTTCTGGTCCTTGGTTGACTTCTTCATTGAGCATGAATATCTGGAACTTTATTCTCCGTTCTCTTTCCTGGTCCTTCACCTGTGTAGGGAAGGAAGTGGACTTGTATTCCACTTGGTGCGGTATTTTTCCTGGACTCCTTAGGCGGAATTCTGCATTAATCTCTCATTGGAAATATTTTTTGTGTTAATTTTTTTCTCTTGAATTATCAGATTTATATTCTGCGGTTAAAGCTTTATTGCAAGAAAGTGATTTTAAAAGTGCAGAAACATCACAATTCATTGCATTTAGAAGGTAAAGAATTTACAGTATTTAATGTTTCTTCTATGGCTTTTAAATTTCATAACTTTAATGTCAATTCTGTTTGAATGGGAGACTCTCATAATTCATCACTATTAATTCTCATTATTTTGGAGTGTTTGCTAGACATAGCAGAGGGTTCTTTCTAACAAATGTTATACTTTGAAATTCATAAGAAATCTAAGTGGAACAAAAGTGCATGTGAAGATAAAAATAAAATATTTTTTCCTGGAGAAAACTGGAAACTTCTTCCAGAATCCATTGTGTCATCTGGGGTAATAGCTTAGTGGCAGACTGTTTATCTGGCATGCACAGGGCCCTGAACTCAAGCCCCAGCATGCACGCGCATGTATATACACACACACACACACAGAGTCCAGTGTATGATAATTGTTGATAATGTAAAGGAGCTAATAACAGATACCATTAAGATGGCTCATGTGTTTTCCTGTGTTTCAGGCAAGACTGTGACTTAATCAATGACTGCTGTTGTAAGCACTACACTGGCCATCTCACCAGGTGAGCATCTTGAAGAATTGGCATTTTTGAAGACAATCTTTCCTTGATTCACTATTATTTTGCTTGCTTTGACATTTGTCACTTGTAGCCACATACTCAAAAAAATGTTTTACCTCATTTGGGAAGTATACTGATCTCTTCAATTAAATACATATCCATAGGAATTGACTTTTTCGGAAATAAGTATAATAAGAAAAAAAATGAGGGATGATATTTTCCTTGTGGTTTCCAGGTTGGAAACCCAGCTTCTCCAAGATAAGCATGGGAGTAAAGGAGAATTTCTAAAATTGTGACATGCCTATGTTTGCTTCTAAGAACCCGAGCACCTTCCTGAATAGCTATGAGAGAAATGGGAGTGTAGAAAAGCCACTCTGTTTATACAAAGGAAAAATAAATTCTTTTATCTTACACATACCAGCATCTGCTCATTGCTCAGTGTGGACATCCTATATCCTGAGATAGGGCCTCCTGTTTGCTGAAGGAAGATACCCAAAAACCTGTGTCAGGTACCCTGACAAAGGATTAAAAAGCACATGGGTGAGGATACATAGTCAGGGTCCTAGTAACTGTGCTCTTGGGTAGGTAATTTCAACTCTTTGTGTATGTGAAAGAAGATACTCAATCTGTAATCCTAGAACTATGGGAAGCTGAGGCAGGATTGCTACTTTGAGCTCAGCGTGGACAACATAGTGACTTAGCAAGACAAAATTTTAAAAAGGGATGGGGATGTAGCTCAGTGCTAAGGCCCTTGGTTCAATCTGTAGTACCTGCTCCTCCACATACCCAAAAAGTTATATTGAATTCCTTACAGAGCTGGAGTAGGAATGTAATGAAATAATATACCCAAAACATTTACTACACAGTAACTGTCATATTGCCATCATTTATTCAATTTGCTGCTATTAATCTGAAACAGTGTTGTAATTATTATCATAGAAATATATGTAAGTACTTTATGACCTGAAATAGGGTAGTGATAGAGAGACTGGAGAGATGATAAATTTTGCAGAAAAAATCAATATGGTTGCTTACATCTTTTAAAAATAGGGAGGAAAAGAACATTTATATCCGAAGTTCTAACTTAAAGAAATTTAGCTGGGAAATGTCACTGAGTTTGTGTTGATTCAGAGCATATAAGTAAGTAATTAAAAGACACGTGTGAGAGCCTGATTTCTTGTTGGTCTTTGGAAAGCCAAAGTGATATAAGGAAGTGTGGAAATCATTCTGATAGTTGGCTTGAATCTGAGTGAGGGTTTAAACAAAATGAAATGAGATATTTTCAAGCTTTGATGATGATGTATTATCACTTTTTAACCTAGAGACCATCAGAAGAGACTCATATTTGGAATTGATGATAAAATTTGTTGTACCAAGAATGCATACCTCTCAGAGTTACTTCCTGAAAATCCTTCTGAAACTGAGCCAAATAGTGATTTACAGGCCAGTGGTGAAGGCTTTTGTGGTACTCCTCATGATTTTTCTAAAAATAAGCATGAACTTGAAAGTGGTATTCGGCTATGTAATGGAGAAATATTTTTCATAACAAATGTAAGTGTCAGAAAATACCTTTGTACCGTTTAGAAAAATATTTATTTGTTGCTGTAGAATTGATTCAGAATTTAATCATATCAGGGGTGATAATGTTGTTCAAAGTTTTCTTGTTAAGGATTTTTACATCTGTGTTCATGATGAATATTGGATTATAGTTTTCTGGTATCAGAATTGAGAATAATTGAGTGGGGAAGTGTTTCTTTTTCTTATATTTTTCTAAAAGACTTTGTGAGGAACATTTTTAATAAGTTTGAAGTGCCTGAGTCACAAAAAACAGGCATATGTGATCATTTCCTTGATTGTGGCTTAAATATAGTAACTGTGGAAGTTATTGCTTTATATTTGGTCTCATTGTGTAGATACCTTCCTAAACTTATAATATTCTCTAAAAGCTCTGTGGAAAAATACAAGGTAAGATAAAAAAATATAGTGAATGCTGCTGTCAAGTGCCATGGAACAAAAAGGCAGGAATCTTTTATACAAGAAGGAGCAGTAACTGTGTGACGGGTTTCAACTTGTTCTGTGCAGTCAGTCTGTTATGAGCTGTGGTTGAGAAAAGATGTGCTGTAAAGTGAGCTATAAGTCATGTATTCTGAGCAACACATTTCACTGGAATTGCACTAGCCTGCTGCTTCCGATTCTAGCGTTAAAACAATATATCAGCATAGAAGATGAAACTTTGGTCTGTGATTATGACCCTGAGAGAAGGTTCAGAGTTCTCAATGGAAATCACCTAGGTCTTGTGTGACAAAAGCACACCAATCAAGACCTAGTGTGAAGGTGATGTTGATTGTGTTTTTTGACCTTGAAGAAATTGTGTAAGCTGTGTTTGTACCAAGAAACACTTGTGAACTCTGAATATTATGAGGTTATTAGAACTTTTAGGAAATGATGTGTGTAGGAAATGGCCTGAGAAATGGGCCAGTAGTTTCATCCTCCATCATTACTGTGCCCCTGGAATGGCACATATTGCTTCTGGAATGGCAGTTTCTGTCAAATAAAAACATTACAGTGTGTCTTTATCCATTTTATTCACTGCACCTGGCACCATGTGACTTTTGGCTCTTCCATGCAGTCAAAATGACTGTGAAAAGTGAAGTTTTGTGTCTAGAGAGTGGTGGTGAACCTATGGCACGTGTTTTCGGGCCGTTTGTTACCATTGAAAGCTTTAAGGTTCTCCATCACTGATTTAAGATCAAGTAATTGGGATGGTGCAACTAAAGTTACTCATAAAAGGTTTTCCAAAGCTGCTTCAGAAAGTGGCAAGAGTGATGGGATAAGTGTGTTTGACGTAAGGGCAGTATTTTAAGGGGGGGGGGGTTGTGTATTTTATTACAATAAATTTAAACAAATGTGACCATTCGTTGTATGGTTTGATCACCCTTGTACTTCACAAAATTTGAAGGACTGAAAATCTTTGTGTTTATATTTGAATGTGGATATATTCAGATAAGTATAGATTTTAAGCCTTTTGAAAGTTTTTTTTTTTGGTGGTGCTGGGGATAGAACCCATGGCCTGATGCACACTAAGTTCATAGGCTACCACTGAGCTACACCCCCACCTCTAAGATCCTTGAAATTCTTTTTTTTTTTTGTACTGGAGATCGAACTCAGGACCTTGCGCTTGTGAGGCAGATGGCGGAACCATTGAGCTAAATCCCTGTCCCCCTTGAAATTCTTAATTGTAACGAATATATATGCCATTGTACTTATAAGGTGCTTACATTTTATTTTCAGTCCAAAGATAGAATGTCTTTACTGTGTGCATATTTGAAGACATATAAAATAGTTCTTTGTTTTGGTGGCAGGATGTAACTGATGTGACTTTTGGAAAGAGAAGATCTGTGACTATTAGTAATATGGCTGGCTTGGAAGTAACTGTGGATTTTAGAAAACTAATGAAATACTGTCACATAAAACATGCCTGGGCCAGAACTATTCATACTTTTCAGGTAAGAGTGGATTTTTAGAACACTATTTAAGGGCCTGGGATTTAGCTCAGTGGCACTGCGCCTGCCTTGCAAGCACAAGGTCCCAAGATCGATCCCCGGTACCAAAAAATAAAATAAAAAATGAAAACTATTTAAAAAGCATACCAAGCCATAGAGTACTTTGCATTGTTTTCTTTTTAAATTTTCATTGCCTTGTTATTATTACTTGCAGTGGGAGGGGGAGACTGAACACAGGGCCTCATGCAGGCTGCTCAGGTACTTCACCACTAAGCTATATTTCTAGCCTTTGCTTTTTTATTTTTTAATTAGAAAACAAAGCGCCCAAGAGTGTAGGAAATACTAGACGGATCCTAATCTTTTGCTCTTTTTGCTTTAGAGCTCTCTTTACTTTCAGGAACTAAGACATTAGAACTGCAGCCTTGTCCTCTGGTCCTTCCCTCCTTGCCTCAGTCTTCAGGAAGGCCTTACTGATCTTGTGTTTATGTAAAATTTGGTAGTTTGGTAATTATAAATCTTTCTGTGCCTTCTTTTTGATTTTTAAAAACATTACACAGAACCAGACTTAATGGCACATGCCTGTAATCTGAGTATTCTGAGAGGGTGATGCAGGAAGGTTGCAAGTTTGGGCCTCTCAGGGGCCAGTTAGCAATTTAGCAGGACCCCCTCTCAAGATAAAAAATTTTTAAAAATTTTTATAGCTCATTGTGAAGGCCCTGGATTCAATCGTAAGTACTGGTAAATAAATGAATAAAAGCATTACATTAAAATATTATTTGTCTTGATTTCCAAATGTCTTGGCACCCAATAAATTTTGTAGCTGGTAAGCTCAGGCCTACTTTTCACCTTCCTCAGGAAGTGACTTCTATCCTGTATCTGTTTTGTATCATTTCCATTCATATAAAAACAATTTCTATGTAAATCTTTCTGTATTTAAACCAATAATACCATGTTTCTGTACTTTTGCAGAAGGGGGAGAAGTAGCACATGCATTTAAAATGTATTTAGCATTTGTATAATCAAGTATCATTTGCTTTTCTTTTTGGTTTACTCAGATTTGTTGGAATATAGTCTCCATATATATGTTAATTATAAAGTTAAGCAAGTTTTGAAAAATGTATCCTTTTCCTCCAGAAAGGTAGAGAGAAGAAGATTGTGAGCCAACCCCTTTTTAAAAATTTTAAACTTGGGCTCGGGATTTAGCTCAGCAGCGCCACACCTGCCTTGCAAGCGCAAGGCCCTGAGTTCAATCTCTGGTACCAAAAAAAAAATTTTTTTTAACTTATTTGGGAATAATGTTAGAGTTACAGAAAAGTTGGAAAGATAGCACAGAGTTACAGCATACCCTTTACCCAGCTTTCTCTAATGATAACATTTTATATAACCATAGTATACTTGTCAAAAACAAGAAATTACTATTGTTGTACATGGTACAGTACACAGTATGTACTGTGTTTGGATTTCACCTATTTTCCCACTTTTGTTCTTTTTTCTGTTTGCAGATCTAATTCATGACACCACACTGCATTTAGTGTAACTTGCTTTTAACCTTTAATGCTCTTGAATCTTTATAAGCTTTTCTTGGCTCTTATTTATCTCATTGTTTTGAGCTTCCCTCTCTGCTGGTGGCTTACTGTTTCAATGGGGAGGCTCTATCAACCTCTATTTTTATGCAGAAAATTTTAGGTTAGCCCCTGTCTTCTGTTAGTAGACATATATGAATGAGCATAGGCTTTTTTTGGGGTTTTTATGAGTATGGTATTTTATTTATTAACATACCCTATCTAAATTTTATAAAGAATTTGAAATGGCTTACATCCCTATGATTAAAAATCCCTATGATTCAGCACAATTTTTTAAAGAGAAAAAGAAATGATGCTGAGTGGAAAACAGAGATAGGGAAAAGGAGCAGGTGGCCAGAGACCTGTGAGCTGCCTTCATGGAGCCTAATGTCTTTTAAAAGTCAGTGATAGAGGAAGTAGAGGGTTCTGGAAAGTACAGAGGTGAGCAGGTGATCCAGGAATTTCTGGATGGAGGCCTTGGACTGAGGAACACTGATAGGACCACGAAGAATTTCCTTGTGCTGGATGGAACCCTGTGTATGGAAAAGATAGGGAAAAAGGTTAAAGGGGGCCAGGGCTCAGGCTAGCTCTTGAAGGCCCTCATGGGCACTTTAAGGCACTAAGATTTTACTTCGAGAGCCTAGGAGCCATTGGAAGGTTGTAAACAGAGTTCAGTGTGACTGGACTTGCAGTTTTACAAACATCCCTGTGGCTGCTGTGAGGGTGATGGATTGGAACAAGTATCTAAGGGACAAGTATGATAATGAGACAGTTTCATACTGTTGTTACTATTTTTCCCAGTGTTGGTTAATTGATTCTCTAAGTTTAGGTAGATATTTTTATGTTTAGAAATACATGATATAAAGTCTAAGGGAGAGAAGTGGCATATGTATATAAAATGTATTTATATAATCAAGTATCATTGAAATCCATTTCTGAGATCTAGAAGCTTTGGGAAGAAAGATGTATCAAACTTTTACAGTCTGAAGAATTGGTTCCAACTGTCTAAAGAGATAAAAGAACTTACTGTGGAGAGTGCTTTTCAGTGGAGCTGTATTTCTCATACACCCCAGCTTGCCGGTTGCCGTCCCCAGTCCCCTTTTGGTAGGAGATGTGTGAGAGCAATGGTGGAGACAGTGGTTCTGGCCACATCTTCGTCTGTGTTGGCACCGGACATGCTGTTCTCAAAATATAGGAGCTGTGAATAGCTCCAAAGCATGAAATTGTTTTCTTACAGTTAGTTACATGGACACATTGAGTGTCATTACTGGTTATACAATTCTCAGTTTGCTAAACTTAAAAAACAAAGGTTAATTGTTCTCTTTTGTACATCTTGATAGAATTAATAATTGGTTTGAAGATGGGAAAATACAATAGCAGCAAAATAGTCATCCCTGGGCCCTTTGTTTTGAGACATAGTCATTAAAATTTTGATAAAATTTCCTTTTTTATTTTATGTTGTATCTTTATGTATAATAACAGTACTTTTTTAGATTAATTTGTTAAATAATTGTAGCCATTCTCCATTGTATAGCATTCAGCGTTTTAAATTTTTTTATATTTTAAAAGTATCTTTGATATTTGCAAACTAAGATATTTGCAAACTAAGATATTTGTACCTCAAATGTCTAATTAGGAATCCTTTTTGAGGAATCCTTTTTTGCCATTATAAGTAACATTAGGATAACATTTTTACACAAAAATCCATACAATCATTTTAAAGTCTTTGATTAGGGAAAATTTAGGACTGCATTCAATCTTTAAGTTTGTTGCTTGGTTTCCGCAAGCCAATTGTGGACCCATGAGACTTGAACTGTGCATCATATTTAGCAAACATGAGTTCTGGGATCATGAATACCATAGATCCGTGAGTGGATCCATGTGAATGTGCTGGCCAGGCAGTGTATGCATGAGAAAACCATGAGGACTCTTCGTGAGGTATGGACCTGCCTGGTCTTCATACTGTCTTCTTGCCTCTCAGGGGTCTGAGGAGCACACTGTTGCCTACGTGGTGGGAAAGGCAGGCCGCCAGCACTGGCAGCACGTCTACACTGCGGTCACCAGGGGCCGCTGCAGAGTGTACGTCATTGCGGAAGAGTCTCAGCTCCAGAGTGCAATCAGAAGACCAGATATTCTCAGGCAAACTCGTCTAAAACACTTCTTGCAAAATGAGCTCTCTGTTAGATGTGCTTCTCTGGCAGATCGTCCATCTCAGCCTGAGAGCTCTGGAGAGAGTGGAGGACCCAGCCTGCCAGCAGCACCCCTCCCTAAAGACACAACCAACACTGTCACAGGTGGTGTTGCCAAGAGCCAGTCCTCTTTGGCTGATGACGGGATGGCTACCTTTGTGAGAGGGTGGAGGTTTTCTTCATTTGATGAAATGTATACAGATGAGGATTTGTCACCACCTCCAGGGTCCAAAAGAACCTCTGGTGTGCACACCTGTGACAGTCCAAGCAAAGTTTCCAAGGTAGGAGTGATGTTTGGATGTGCTCAAGTTTTATTTCAGAATTGGTAACTTCAGTGTGCTTACAAGGGACCTTGTACTTCTGTGAGTGTTGCCTTGTGCTGTAGCACTTGTAGCACCTGGTTCTCATCCCTGCCGAGCTTCCTCTGCCTGTGCTCAGTTGATCCTAGCTCCCTTTCTTACCACCTGAGGCTCCCCCTCTAGGCAACCTCCATGGATTGATGGGAACTGACATGCTAAAGAAAGCTGTTGTCACTCCGTGCCTCTTTACCAATGCCTTCCCTTTCAGCTCCCCCTCCCTTGCCCTTGCTTTATAGGCCATAATCTTATTTAATCTCCACAATTTCATTGAAATAGCTTGCCAATTCTTCTTGTCAACTTTAGGGGCCTTTTCCCTAGATGTTGTTTTTTACTTTTCTCTGGGCTTTTTCTTTTTTTCCCTTTGTAGCACTGAGGAGTTGAACCCAATCCATTTGCATTGAGCAACATCCCAAGCCTTTTGGAAATTTTGAGACAAGGTCTCTTTAAATTGCTAACCTAAGTTGAATTCAAACATGCAATCCTTCTACCCTAGCCTCGTAGAGTGCTGGGACTATAGGTGTGTATCACTGAGCCCAGCTTCCCGTGACATTTAATAGTTTCACCTCTGCTGCTATTTCAGTGTCTCCTTCCCTTGGTTACAGAGGTACCCAGTCTAAAGCTTCCCCTGCAATGACCTCTCTGCCTTGTTTCTTCACTACCACCCCAGATTTGGAGATACTTGTCTTACAGTTTCAGCCATTCTCTTTGTACCAGTCATTGTTCAAAACAGTCTCAGGTGTCTGTGACATTCCAGGTACTGGGATCTAAAGATAAGTAAGTGACAGTTCTCACTCATATTCACTGCTGGTGGTGCAGACAGACATCTGTGTAAGTAATTTGGTGATTCACTGAATCTCTGATGCTGTGAAAGGGCAGTGAAAGAACCTTTCCCTAATCCACATACTTATTTCTACAGATTGACTTTTCTGGAACCACAGCTCAACGTCTTACTGTCTATTCCAGTTTCCCCATTTCAATCACTATTCTCTTAGTTATCCACCTAGTCTTGGAGTCACCTTAGACTCATCTTACCTTTAATTGCTGTCTCCAGGTAATTAGCTTTATTGCAAAATGTCTTTCTCAGGGATTTTTTTCCTTCTATGTGGTCTGCCCTGTTTCAAGTCTTCATCTGATCTTCTTAGGTGGTTGATGACCAGGCCACCCTTGCCTGGCTTGTTCCCTTTCTCCTAATATACCTCACACGTTGTCACTTCCACTAAAGTGAATCAAACTTTTTCTCATCTCTGTCTGTTGGCTTTTGCATTTTGAAGATAGAGTCTGTACAACTTGCTGACTAGATATGAGGGGGTAAAAGAAAAAAATAATCCAGAGAGATTCCTTTATTTCTGGTTGAAGCAGTTTGGGGGAATGACAGTGCAATTTCCTGAGATGAGAAAGTTTGGGGAAAGGAAGAGTCTTCCCATGATAGGCTGTTTCAGGTGTTACTGGACATGTGGGATTATAAATCAGCTTCCAAGTGTCATTCCAACAGAAGCTCAAGAATTTCATAATGTGCCACCAGCAGACTTGTTGAGTGCTTCTGCTTCTGAGGCTGTAACACGGACAAGGAGTCCCAGAGGGTGCTCAGAAGTCAAAGTGCTCCTGTAACCTGCTCATCATGGGCTGAGAAAAGGGAGAACAATCATGTCTTCTGTTCCCAGCTAGGTATGGGACAATTGGCCAGTTCTCAAAGAGTCTGCCTGACACGGGCTCAACCTGTGAAATATTGACCTATTATGCAGCTACAGGTATACAACAGCATGGCCAGAGCATAGGGTGAAAAGAAAAGGTAGGACTGAGGACACAGGCGTAGTCAGGAAGGACCACCAAAGGGTCTTCTAAAGAGATTTTTCCGTTCTTCTGATTGCAGTGGAGAGCAGTAGAAGCTGTTTAAGTGCTCTGTGAATTAAAATATAGTAAAGTGACCTTGGCTATAACTGAGTGGTTAGGCAGAGACTAGGGAATGAGTTCCCTAGATTCTTTTTTTTTTTTGGTACTGGGGATCTAACTTGGGTCCTTGTGCTTGCAAGGCAGGTGGTGGAACCACTGAGCTAAATCCCCAGCCCCCCTAGATTCTTTATAGTCAGGTACTCCTGTGGGATGGAGAAGAGCCGCTCCAGGACAGAGTGAATCGGTCCTAATGATGAGTTGTGTGCTGCTGAATTTGGGGCCAGGATGACTCCAAGGCTTCCGGCCAGGGCATTCAGGTGGATCCTGGTACTGCTTCAACTTCCTGACTGCTGGGATTACAAGGTGACGCCACCACAGTTGGCTTATTATTATTATTTCTTGCAAAGACCCTGGAAGAAGGCTTTTGACCTGAGCAGAAAAGAGACAATTCCATAAAAACGGCCTTTTAAAAAAGTTCTTGTCTTATACATTTCTTAGCCCCAACACAGGAAGGGGATTAATGGTTTGACATGATGGTACCAAGAGAAAATGGTACTTCTAAGCCTGCCAGAGCTTTTCAGCTGCGACTGAGGCAGATATTTTAAGTCCATGAACACAAAATGGACGCTGGGGGTCCAGCCAGTGCTGGCTGATATCACTGCATGGTGGCAGTAGCACAAAGGTCTCTAATGGCAGCACTTGTGTTTTCTCACAGTGTTTGTGAAAAGTATGTTACATCTATAGGAATTCCTAGAATTGAAGAAAAGGAGTCCAAAGATCTAGGACTGATGAAGTAGGGAGTTCTGTGTTTCCAGAATTCTAGACGTTCAGGTGCATTGAGATTTGTCGTTTTTGAAAGATGAATTCAAATGACAAGGGCTGGTCCTTCCTTCACATCCACATTCACACTTCTGTCTAAGAGCCACAGCAGCATTTCTATTCCACCAATACAGTTGTGCGTTGTTTACTACAAGGATAAGTTCTGAACCAGATGTGGTGGCACACTCCTGTAATCTTAGCTCCTCATAAGGCTAAAGCAGGACGTTCACAAGTTTGAGGCCAGCTTGGGTAATTTAATGAGTCCCTGTTTCAAAATAAAAAATACAAAAAGGGCCGGGGAGCTAGCTTAGTGATCAAGCACCCCTGGGTTTGATCCCCAGTACTACAAAAACAACCAACCAACCAATCAGCCAACCAAAAAAGAAGACAAAAATTTGGAAGTCAAAGATAAATTCAAAGAAATGCATAATTAGGGGTTTTTTTTGTTACTCTTGTACAGATATCACAGTTACCTTATACCAACCTAAGTGGTACAGGTCAGTTAGTCAGTGTGGCCTCTTGATGAAATAAAGAGGCAGTAAGTATAAGAGATGCATGAGTCACACAGCAGGCTTTTATAGTAAACTTTTTAAATTGTAAGTAGAAGGCTGCACTCTAAAATAACAGTGGAACTATGGTGAATGCATAAGCCATAACATCATTGTTATAAGGTAATATGTCCTGTACATAGTTGTATGTGCTATGCTTTCATGACTGGCAGTGCAGTAGGTTTGTTTGCATCAGCATCACCACAAACACTTGAGTAAAGCCTTGAACTAGACAACAAGAATTTTTTTTTAGCTCCATCATAACCTTAATCCATAGTTTTTTATTGACTGAAATGTCACTGAGAGGTACATGATGGTACTAAATGACAGAGCTTTCAGGTGAACGCTTTTGTGCTTTTTTTTTTTTTGGTACCGGGGATTGAACTCAGGACCTTGTGCTTGTGATGCAGGCAGTGGAACCACTGAGCTAAATCCCTGGACCCGCTTTTGTGCTTTTTAATGGGTTTATAGCTTTGAGTTTTGGAAAAAGTCCTTAAAGAAAATGTTGACCTCACATTTTGCCTGGTAACTCCACTTATGGAAAAAAAAGGAAAACAGAGGTGTACCTTTAGATTAAAACATATGAATAAATATTGTTAAAATTTATCATATAAATCAGTGATTTCTAGAATTTTTTAAACAATCACATTTTTAACATAAAAATGAGGAAGGACATAATCATATAATTTCTGAATAAAGGGCAGTCCTTATCTTAATCAAGGTTCTCCAGATAAACAACCATTAGATATAAATATCTATCTGTATATCAGAATGGAGTTTATTTCAAGGAATTGGCTCCTGTGATTGTAGAGACTGGCAGATCTAAAATTTTGATCATGCTGAAATTGAATTTGAAAGCAGTCTTCTGGCAGAATTCCTTTTTCCTTTGGGGAAGATAGTCTCTTTTCTAGTGAGGCCCTCAACTGATTGGATGAGGGCTACCCACAGTATAGAAGCTAATCTGCTTGAACCAGAGTTAACTGATTCAAATGTTAATTTCATCTAAAACATTCCTTTACAGAAATATCTGGAATAACGTGACTAAATATCTGGGTATTGTGGATTTAGCCACATTGACACATAAAATCAACCACTATAAAAGTGCTATAAAATGAACATATTTAGCATTGTGAAAGATAAATTGTTTATTTTCCTATGATGGTGCAACTTCATGACCATGCTAGTCTGTTGACTGGTGCTTGGGAGTCATTAGTAATATGAAGAACATGACTTACCCTTGCAGTATTTCACCTTACCACATGCTGAGCTATTTTCATGGTCACATAACCTGGGTAGTTAGTTGTTCAGGTCTCTGTGCTTGGAAGCCATGCTTTTTAAAATTGGTCTTTAGTAGCCATCTTGAAATTTTTAACGTTTGAACAAGGAACCTTCATTTTAATTTTGTATTGGACTGCCAAATTATGTAGGGAACCCTGACCATACCTTTAGAAGTTAGATACATGTACGTACTCAGTAAATGGTTACTTCTACATGCTGGACCCAAAGCTGGGTTCTGCAGATGCCATGGTGAGCCAGAGCAGACATAATCCTTGAAGAAGCTATAGCGTGTTGCTCCTATTGCTCAGACCTTTCAAGGTTTGGCAGAAATGTATTATTTCTTCTTCAGAAAGAGTTCGAGAAAATAGAAGTATATAGGGTGGACTGAATATATTCTTATAAAACTATCTTTATTCTTATTATTGTTCTAATAGGTGGAAGAACCATCTCCACAAGTGTCTTCTAAACTTCAGAATTTGAGACTAAATAAATTAATTCCCAAGCAACTTTTCAAGCCCATAGACAATCAAGAAAACTTCACTTCAGATTGCTCAAAATAATCATGCATTGTTTTTCCTTTAAAACAAAAGATGCCTCAGAGTTTCAAGATGAAAGAGGATCCCTATAACTGGAATTTTACTTCAAGACAATTGTGTTTAGAAGATGTTTTAAATTGATTTGATCAAAGAGAACCTTAATGATTTCAATGTCTGTTATCGTGAGAACTAGAAGCATTGGACATAAATGAGGGGAAAAAAGAAAATGTGTGTGGAAAAAATCCCCTGTAGTTCCAGATATGCTGCACTTTTTTAGGATAATGTTTAACTTCCATGATCATTGTGGGTTTCTTTGCCAGTGGGTGGAAGCAGTGGCAAAGGTAAACTGTCATCGTGTCCGTTGATATTGATGCACATTCAGGGATGTCCTGGCTTCTGAATCATGGTCATGTACAGGTTGCTGCTTCCTGTGCTGTTCAGGCCCAGCACACCTGGGACTTTTCCTGGTAATCCCTTCTGAGTTAGGAGCATATTGTTTTGAATATATCCCATTTGGGGAAGATTTTTCTTAGAGTGATTTGATTTTAAATTTTTACTGTTAAATAGTGCTATGGTTTGTGTCTCCCAAAGTTCACATGTTGGCAGCTTAATTTCCAACCCCCAGTGTTGGGAGGTGGGGTCTAATGTGAAGTGTTGAGATCCTGAGTGTGTTAGCAACTGGGGCAGTGGGTTCCTGTTGAAAAGCAAATTCTGCCCCTTCTTGTTCTCTCCAGATCTCATGTCCTTCTGCCTTGTGCCATGAAGCAGGAATGCCCTCGCCAGATCCCAGCTCCTTGATTAAAGCATGCCTTGTTTTATTGCACTTTGGTTTATTATACTTCTCAGATATTGTGTTATTTAGAAATTAAAATTTTGTGGCAACCTTGCGTTGAGCAAGTACATTACCATAATTTTTCTAACAGCTCAGAAAATAACAATTTTTAGCCAGAAAGTATTTTTAGTTAAGATACATATATTTTTAAAAGATATAATGCTATTGCATATGTAATAGACTACCAATGTAGTGTAAACATAACTTTTATTTGCGGTGAGAAACCAAAAAATTCTTGTGATTCATTTTATTGTCATATTGTCTTTATTGCAGTTGTTTGGAACCAAACCTACAATACGTCTAAGGTATTCCCGTATTGGACTTCTCAGCCTAAATTACCCAATCTGTCATATTCTTTTATATCAGTCCTGTGGTGCAGATGTGACCTTTAATGTCACAGGAGAGGAAGCTACCTCATGGTAGGTGTCATACTGCCAGTGAGTAGCAGGGCTGGAATTGAAATCCAGATCTGATTTCAAAGCCCATAATCTTCCTACTTATCCGTGGTGCTTTTCAGTTTTATGGCAAACCCCTCCCCCCCACCCCCACCCCGGAAAATTGTATAAAGATTGTATAGAACTCAGGCTAGAGTAGTGAAATAT